CTGCAGACACCCTTTCTGAGGCTATGAGAACATATTGTTCGAAAGAGTCAGGATGAGAGGTTCCCATAAACTAGCTCTCATTCCTCTTCTCCGAAAACCCCAATAATTCCTTTTCTGGCATGCAGAGCCCAAGATACACACGGTCATGAATAGGCTGTTCATCTCTCCCTGGGAGCTGCGGGTGGAGGCTCAGACAGTACAACAATATTATGACTGCCCGGGGCACGAGGAGAGTGAGCTGGGAGTTAGGAGGGCGTTAGCCAGGTGCTGAATGGGGAGGTTGTCTGAGCTGTGCTGAGACCCGCCCCTTTCTCATCACCCAGTGTGTCTCTAATAAAGGTCTTCAGTGTCCTCCCCTCATCCCCTGGTCAGGAGTTAGGGAGTGTCTTGTCTCCTGTGCCGCCTCCTGTTGTCCCCAGGGGAGCCTGGTTCATGCCTGTTCTTACCAGGTGGCCCCAGGCTCGTCCCCTCCTTATCCACCTGGGTGCCCTAACGCGGAGTGCGCGGGGCCGGCTGGAGGAGCCCTCTCGTTTGGATGGTTCTGTTATACAGACTTACACACAGAGCCCAGAAGTGGACTTGGGCTCTAGAAGAAACCCTGATTTCATCTCACTGAACAAATGAAATGGAGCCAGGCACTGTCCCTTCCTAGGCCTTAATTTCCTCATCTACTCAATGGAATGAACAACAGTGACTAACCTCACAGAAAGAAAAGTCATCCCTTTCACAGTTGTTCTATCCTTATGGGGCCGATTTTCCTAAGAACAGAGACTGTGTCCGGCGCACATCTGCCTTTAATAAATGATTGAGAGGTATTGTCATCCCTAGTTTATATCTAAATCAACAAACTGAACTTCTTCAGCCACCATCCACTTATGCAGCCAGCAGGTACTTAAACAAAGGGAGGAGGTTATTTTTATGTGCGCTCGCTCCCTGCTTCCTCACAGCCATGGTTTCTGAGTGAAATGGACTGTGTGAGCCAATGGGGAGGCCAACCCCATTCTGGTTTTTGGGGTAATTGTGGCAACAATCAGGCATTGATTTCCCCCCTTCGCTCTCCTCAGAGTGGCTTCCTCACAGTTCTTAGGGTGGAGAGGATGTACTCATTGTCTTGGTCACCACAGGCCTCCCACCCTCCCTTCCTTCCTTCCTTCCTTCCTTCCTTCCTTCCTTCCTTCCTTCCTTCCTTCCTTCTTTCCTTCCTTCTCCTCACAAGGATATTTTTCCCATTGATTTTTTAGAGAGAGTGGAAGGGAGGAAGAGGGGGGGGGGAGAGAGAGAGAGAGAGAGAGAGAGAGAGAGATGCCAGAGAGATACATCGATTGGTTGCCTCCCACACACGCCCCACCGGGTCTGGGGATCAAACCTGAAACCCAGGTATGTGCCCTAGACTGGGAATGGAACCCACGACCCTTTGGTGCACAGGCCGATGCTCTAACCACCGGCCAGGGCACCTCGGGCCTTGCTGGGAGGCCTACGGGGTACCTTCCCTTCAGCACCTCATGAATCACGTTTCTTCAGAGACTTCAGTTTATCTCACTGAGGCTGCAGAAGGTGTCACCTATGCTGTTGCCAACAGACAAGTGTGTGAAGCAAAACGGGTTTCAGTGGAGGGGCGCGGGGTGATCAGACCATACCATGGTCTGCCTTAGAAGGAAGGAGATGAGGTGGTCAGCACCCTGAAATGTGACTAAGAACCAAACCCTGGAAGGCCCACTCTCTCCCGGCCCTCCACCCCCACTCTGCACTAACCGCCCGCCCCCCCCCCCCCCTTGGAATTGCCCCGTTTAGACACCGTCCCACACATGGGAGCTCATTATCATTGTGGGCTTCTCCCCACAACACCTGAGGGTAGAGCACTGTTCTCCCCCATCCATGTCACTGCAAAACCCTCTCAGTTTAGGTGGATGCCAATCTCTGAGGTGGGGGGATAACAAAACACACAGAGAGGAAGGAACAAAGACATCTAGAAACCCTCCAAAGGCTATCCTCCTGGCCTACAGTTCCTGAGTCCTCAGTTCTCCTGTGCTCCTCGCTAATTCTGGGTCAAACCTTCACCTCCCTCCCTCTGCTCACTTGAAAGATACTGCTGGAGTTGAACAGTAAAAGCCGGATTCATTCTTTCATCAGCATCTACCTGTCCCAGGTGATGCGGACACAGTGGTGGTCGTGGTCCTTACCCTTATGGTGCTTACAGCCAAGGGAAGGGAGACAGGGAACAAGCAAATTAACAGGTAACCCTGACAGTCGGTCAGTGGCATGAAGGGGACAAATAGGGGCTGTGATGCAGGGCGAGGGGAGGGGCTTCTGGGGCAGTGACATCTGCACTAAAACCTGAGGGATGAGGAGGAGTCAGTCCTGCAGAGCAGCAGGGGAAGAGCTGGCAGTGCGGGGCGAGGAGCTGCAAAGAGTGGGTGCATTCGAGGACTAGAGAGAAGGCCCGTGTGGCAGCAAAGAGCATGGGAGGCGGGGGCGGGGGAGGGGGATGGAGTGGAAGGGCAAGCAGGGCCAGAAACCCCGGGGTCTAGGTTTATAGGATTGCAGTTGTTTTCAGAATTCGTGCCAGGGGTTTTAAGCAGTGCAGGGGCCTGTTCCGCTCCTCACTTTGGAAAATCACACTGGCAGAGTGTGAAGCATGTAGGTGCTTGGTCACGGTTTCAAAAACTGTACCCTGACAGGTGGCGTCACCTCATCTCGAATAGATTCACACGGAAGGGGAAATGACCTGGGCACTGGCCAGGGCCTGGAGCCGTAGCCCAGACCCGTCTCCCAACCTCCGTGGGGAGGCCATTCTTTCCAGCGTGAGGCGTGCAGGAAATAGGGAAGCGGGAGGAAAGTTCTGGAATAGAAAGAGACACCGGAAGGCAGGAACAGCAGGAGCAGCCAGTGAGGTTAGGAAAACCGTCTTTTCGGTTCACCTTGGCAGGGAGCTTAGAAACCTTGGAGCTTAGAAACATTTCACAACAATTCTGAGATGGGCTTTCTACCACACCCCCTGACCTAGCGGTCCTTCCCTGCCTCATCTTATGGTTCATTGACCTGGAATTTCTAGACACTACTCACTTCCCTGAGATGCTCAAGCCTTGGGAAGCTAAGTGTGATGGGGACAGAATAAGACATTCAAAAAAGATGTGTGTGTCAGTTCTAGAGACCCCCAGCGAAGCGTGATGGACAGGAACCTGGCCGAGAATCGCCAGGCGATTGTCCAGGCCAGCACGCCCTCCCCAGCCCTAGGCTTTCTCTCGGCAACCCCGGGAGACCGACCAGCTCTTAGGATGCTAAATCTACAGAATTTGTTCAGAAATGATACGCAAAGTGTTGGAGAGGCACCCCTGGCCCCCGCCACCTTTCCACAGGGTTTTCCAAGCAGAGGGAGGCTGGACGGTTTCCAAAGGAAAGCTAACAGGAAGCATGTAATTTTCAAGGAGCCGACAGATCACTTGCAGTCAGACCACGTGGCTCTCCTAACATTTCTGAGCTCATTCTCTGAGAACCACTCTTCCTCAGCACCTAAGGCTCTGCTAAGAGGACTCACTCCCCCGGCCTCACCTGGCAAAGCTACCCAGCCGGCTACGGAGTCTGCACCCCAGGCTTCATTCCTCTCCTCGCTCCCCGAGCCCAGCTTTCATCCGCCAGCTTGTCATTTCCTGGATGCCCCACCAGGGCCTTCCAGCCAATGGGTCCCCAACCAGCTCATCTTCCCGGCCCCGGCTTTCCTGTTTCCGTGGATGGAAGCACTGCTCCCTCTGCTTCCCCGCTGGAAATGTCTGAGTCATCCTTGACTCATCCTTCTCATTCTCCAGATCAAACCAGCTCCCGAATCACGTAGTACCTATTTCCGTGATGCCACTTGACTCTGTCCCCTCCTTCCGACGGCTGGCCCCCATCCCATTTCGGTGTGGGCTGTCATTGCTTCCCTCCGGCAGGCACAGCCTCCCTTGTTCCCTCACCATGTCCCACCCCCACACTGCTGCTGACATCGGCTGCTCACACTGATCGCCTCGCTCTCTCACAGCAGCCTGACGTGGCTCCCTCTGCTACCACATTCAATGTAAACCAGCTTTGAGCTTGCTAAGTCACCATGCCTTTCCTAATACTGCGTGTTCAAGTTCAATTCACTTATTCTCGGTGTAGGACATAATGCTTTGTCGTTTCTCACACCTTCTTATATGATTCTGAAAAAATAAGGTCTCCTGTTACGAAATCCTATATTCTCTGCATTTATAGGCTTGCTTTACCTCCTTAGAACAGCGGTTCTCAACCTGTGGGTCGCGACCCCTTTGGTGGTCGAACGACCCTTTCACAGGGGTCGCCCAAGACCATCCTGCATATCAGATATTTACATGACGATTCATAACAGTAGCAACATGACAGTTATGAAGTAGCAACGAAAATAATTTTATGGTTGGGTCCCAGCATGAGGAACTGTATTTAAAGGGCCAGAAGGTTGAGAACCACTGCCTGAGAAGATTCAGTGTTTCTGTATTACTAGTCTCACATTTGCTTATACTTCCTCTACTATGTGAGCACATGCGTGTGCCACACACTGCTCTTAGGACACCTGCATGCAATAACGTACTCTCACAACAACTCTGATTGTGTCCCCATTTCACTGGTGACAAAAAAAACCGAGACGCAGAGATGTTGAGTAACTTGCTGAGGCCCCAGACCTAACATGTGGCAGCGCCTGGATTCTAAATCACATGGTCTGGCCCCAGAGCTCAAGCTGTTAACCAGTGAATTCATATTTGTCTCTGTTACCTGCATTCCTGATATTATAGTTTGACTTTAGCTGATGTTTTATAGCTGAACTGAAGTTTAAGGCGTGTGTCCATTATTGGTCAGAAATATCAATGGCAGGCCGAGTGTGTAAATGTAATTTGATAGCAGGAGCTGATTTAAGGTGTCTCCCAGGAAATCACTCTAAAGTTAAGAGACATCTTTGTGCTATTTTTTTTTTTCCTACCTGTTCTTCTTTTTTTTCCCTTTTCTTATTCCAGTACATGGGCTGTATTGAAGTGCTGCAGTCGATGAGGTCACTGGATTTTGGAATGAGAACTCAAGTTACAAGGTAAGAGAACTAGATTGAGGACCATGTTTTATTTTTCACTTTGTTATTTTTTTAATAAGAGAAAGTGTATTTAGAAAGTCACAGAGGTAGAAAAATCAGCCAGCTGAGCTACGTGGGTTCAGGAAATAAGTTACAGAGAGGCAAAAGAAGAGGACAATTTTTGTTTGTTTGTTGTTGTTTTAAAGAGAACTGTTTTTAAAGTCACAACAGTTTTTCCCCACAGAAATGTCATGCAAGCCTTTAAAGTCCCCATGGGTTGTTATTCAGATGCCTGGAAGCTGGAACACAGTCCAGTGACCGGGGATAAGTCCCCTTATCACGTCATGTGAAAGATTTCCCAGTTCTGTGGCAGAGCACCTGCATTGTGTATGAGAACTGGGAAGATGATGCAGTCATAGAAATAGCTGGTTTCCCAGGTACCAACAGTTTTTAAAATTCTGCCTAGAAATAGGGCCTTACAGTAGAATCTGAGACCTGTGGAGGAAGTAGCTGAAAAGAAGACGAGAACTGTTTCATCTTCCCAATTTGAAACTCTGTATTCATTAAACCTAACTCCCCAGTCCCCATTCCCCACCCGGCCCCAGCCCTGGCAGCCATCATTCTATTTCATGTCTATGAATTTGACTACTCTAGGCACCTCATATATGTGGAATCGTACAGTGTTGGTCTTTTTTTAAAAAATATATTTTATTTATTTTTTTTATTTTTTATTTTTTTACAGAGAGGAAGGGAGAGGGATAGAGAGTTAGAAACATCAATGAGAGAGAAACATCAATCAGCTGCCTCCTGCACCCATCCCCGTCCCCCCCCCGCCCCCCCCCCACTGGGGATGTGCCCGCAACCAAGGTACATATCCTTGACTGGAATCGAACCTGGGACCCTTCAGTCTGCAGGCGACGCTCTATCCACTGAGCCAAACCAGTTAGGGTGGTCTTTTTTTTTTTTGGATAGCATAATGTCCTCAATGTTTATCACTAGGCCAAACACTGTAACTATTTTGAAGGCTGCTGCTGTGTATTGCTAGATTGTTCTACAGAAGAACTGCACTAGATGGTGCTCCTCCCTCCCAGCCATGTGTCTGTCTTTTGTTAGGGCCTATTTTTTAAATCGTTGTAAACTTGTAAGTGCATATTTTCCCATTGTTTCATAACTGGTACAACACTATGTTTTTTCTATGCCATGACATTTCAGTGTGTGACTAAGGTACAAACCCAAGGAAGTGGCTGCTGTGGTTTCTGGATGGTATTCCTTGCAGATGTGTCTGTATGTGATTTGGGCATGGCCGACTATGCTCTGGGCAGATTCGCAGAGGCTCGAGGGCGGTGGGTTGTTGTTAGATTTGGTGGTGGGGAAGGCCTCTCTGAGGAGAAGATATTTGAGCTAATCTCTGAATAAAATGAGGGATCCAGCATGGGAGTGTCTGGGGGAAGAGAGCTCAGGCAGAGGGAAGGCGGTGTGTGCACCATTGGTCCATAGCGTCAACCCTGACAAGGCCCCAAACCTGGGCAGTTGGCCTGTCCGGTAAGAGTGTGAAGAAAGTGCATCTTCTTCCAAGAGTGGATACCAGGCAGTGACCAGTGGGCTCCAACTCAGGGGAGGGAGAGGCTGGATGGGAGATTCAGGGTTTAAGATGCCCTATGGTGCAAGTGGTCTGCCTTGAAGTCAGGAGACTCCAGCCACGTTAGCCCACATTGTCTGTGGTTTGGCTTAAAGGCCATGAAGCCGATTTCCATGTACCAGGGCTGAAGCATATGTTCCAGGCTGCCCTCCCCAGCTCTCGAACCCATTCTCTGGGGCTTGTAGAGTTTGAGGTGCTGTATCTTATAGCTACCTGGGCTCAGCAGCAGTCCTGAGACTCCCTGATCCAGATGGGAGAAGGAGAGAAGCCACCAGGAAAGTGAGGTAGAAGACAAAGGAGAAGAGATAAAAGAGGTATGTCCCACTTTAAGGAATGAACAAAAATTGAAATTTACTGAACAGAACAGTTACCATGCAGAGTGCACCCCTGGATTCCTTTACATAATGAATTCCTTGCTGGTATTTCGAAGGAAATTCAATGTAGGAAAGAAAGTGTTTTTACTTTTTTCCCCAGGAGCTCACATATTGCTGAAAGTGGGAGTGATCTTTGAAACTCTACGGTAGGTCCGATAGGACATTCTACAAGAGGATGTAAGCATAGCCGTGGGTATTAGTGCACAGCCATAGAGCTCCCTGTATGTTACCTGGGTGGGAACATTCTACTTGGGCCCGGGATCATTTCTTTGGTCCCCCTCGCCCCTCGCTATTAGACGGTGCATTCTATGAAGTGTGGACCTCAAAGCCACATGCATGTTGCTGAGCACAGTGTTCTCATGTGACCAGCATAAGAAAATGGCTCACTTTCCTCCAAACCTCTAATTTCCACCCTACTTCCCAAATATTTACTCTTCTTCTGTCTCTTTTAATTTTTCCTCCTTTATCTCATTCTCCTTTCCTCTCTCAACTTCTGTGTATTTTGACATTCACCTACTATTCGAGTTGCTTTATTACCAGTTGTCCTAGATGTTATCATTAAAACATTACTCTGGAATCAGGCTTCAAATGGTTTTAAATTTAACTTTCACATATTCACAAAGTTTCACTTTGCTCATATCTTACTGAATGCAAGAAAATAATTTTCAGTGCACCAGTTAGAATTCCAAGAGAAAAGATCTTTGCTTCTCATGGCCAATGTCCCACCCTGATAAATGGTGTTACCATGTCTATCCTAGTTCACACCTTATTCCAGATAACAGGGCGACAGCAACAAGAAATTCCTGGTAATCAAGGGGGAGCGAGGATTAAGACACAGGGACTGGGTCAGCATTTGAAACAGGAGCAGCGTGGGGCACAGTTCTTGTCTTTCTGAGGGACCTGCCTGCCCCTTGTTTGGGGGCTGAGTCCACAGGGTCTGGAACACAGAAAGGACTCAAGTAGAGCCGCAGAGAAAAAGAAGAGGACAGGAGGCACCCACTTCATAGCCCCACTGAACTCCGCCCCTCAGTCCAGACTTAGTCCCCGAGGGAGCCCTGTGGTGGCTGTTACTGGTGTTCCTCTGCGAATTCTCACCCACAGATCTTGACTGATTCAGGACCAGATCTCAATCGTTAGTAACTGAGTATTCATGCAAAAGGGCAAAGGAAGAGGTTTTCCACCACAGAAACGAGAAACACAATCATTAGGAAAACAAAGGCTCGCAGCCACAGTTGTCTTCAAATGTCTGGAAAACAATACCAAGGAAGTAAAGGAAAGAGAGGGGCTGAAAATCATGCTAAGGATGATATAGTCATTTGTTCTCTCCCGTAAAAATGTTCTCATCATGAGTTTAAAAATAAAACACCTCATTTAATCTGAAACACACACACACACACACACACACACACACACACACACACACACAGAATCAGGTCACTAAACCCTAAAGCCCAACTTCCATCCCTTGAATAAGCACCCACATCATGCACAGAAGAAATCGTCCCTCTCCCCCTAAGATGCCACCTTCCTTGTGTTTGGGTGCCTGAGGCAGGCAGGAGGAATAAGCCCATCAAGGGCAATCACCTAAGTGGAGCTGGTGGGACAGGGCCTGGCTTCCAGGCCCAAAGAACAGAACTTCATAAGAAACTGTCATTGGTCACATTTAGTTCATCACCACAGAACATAATACAGGGTGGGCAAACGTAGGTTTACAGTTGTATGGAAAATAATACAATGATTAATAAATAATAATACAAGAATAAACTGTACTTCGTGTACTCACAATTGTAAACCTACTTTTGCCCCACCCCATATATCCCAAGGGGCAAGGCATACTGCTGGTGGGAGGGACTTACAGATCACTGGCTTACTATTCTGGCACCCTCCTGCATTTTTCACATTATATTTGTAACTCCTATTTGGGAAAGAAAGAAAAAAAGAAAGGAAGAAAGAAAGAAAGAAAGAAAGAAAGAAAGGAAGGAAGGAAGGAAGGAAGGAAGGAAGGAAGGAAGGAAGGAAGGAAAGGAAAGGAAAGGAAAGGAAAGTAAAGGAAAGTAAAGGAAAGGAAAGGGAAAGGAAAGGAAAAGGGAAAGGGAAAGGAAAGGAGGCAAGGAAAGGAAAGGAACCTGACAGAAGCGTCCCTGCCAAGTACAGGCCAGTGAAATTCCGGGCGACTGCCCTGAACGGGAAGCCCAAGCATAGCCCGTCCCCGTCACGTACCGGCCCTGTCCCTCCCGTCACCCTCCCTGCCCAGGCCATCTGGCCCTTTGCAGCGTCCTTCTTTCACTTCGCTACATTCGCCCTTCTCTTCCCCTCCCTTGCCCGCCACTCTCCGTCCCTACCACTCCGCATCCCTTCCGGGCCCTGAATTAAATTCCGCGGATGCAGTTCCGTTCCCGCCGCCTGGCCCATTAACTTTCGCTTCCTTGCCGTTCCGTTCCCTTTTCCCTTCCGTGCCTTCCCTTCCCTTCCCTTCCTTCCACTCCGCTTCCTGTTCCCTTACCTTTCCTTCCCCTCCCTCCCCACCCCTCTCCTTCCTCCCCTCACTCTCGCCCTCGCGAAAAGAAAAAAGAATCAGCTAGACAAAGTGCAAGGCAACCTAGCACAGGATCTGCCCATGCCACGCTCCAGGACAGCTGAGGGGCGGGGGTGGGGGGGTGGGACGTCTGTGTAGGGAAATGGGGAGCTGTTAGAGAATGAGTGGGTCCTGGTCTAAGACTCATTTTCTCTAGCGGATCCTAAGGGGCTGCATGTTGTGGATTATTTATCTGCCCCATCCCATCCCATGGGGAGGAAAACCCTGACCCACATTTTTCTGAACTGCTGCTGCAGACAGTTGGCAAGCTGTTCGGGTGATTTGGTACCAGGTAAAGCAACAAGGATGCAGAGATCATAATTCAGAGGACATTGTAACTGGACTAATTTCCTGTTTGGAACGTTATTGCTCCTGAGCAGTGATTAGCTTACTAGCTTGAAGGTTTGATTCTTTGGCTTCAGCAGGACATTAA